ACTGAATGATGCATGCTTTTCATCTAAACTTAAAGTGCCTGTGACATCAAAGTTTTGTTTTAGATATGAATGCATTTTTGGAAAAATAACATTCATAAAGGTGTTGCAAAACACATTTCACGCCGCTGAGATGAACCGTTCAGGAGATATTCACATGTGAAGTAACAGGAAGTGATGTCAAAGGGGAATGTCTGCATGTGAGCAGAACGCTGCTACAATAAGTAATGTAGCAGTAACTTAGATGGACTGTCAGTCCTCAAAACTTTGGCCAACACATTTTTCGTCCCCATGTCTACAAGAGAACAATGACTTATTCATTTACCTCCAAGCTTTGTTTACTATCTACAAGTGGTAAGATAGCAACCGGATGTGACCACCTCCTGTTGATTGAGTACTGTGTAAGAACCCCTTTGATGTGTTCAAAATGGCCGCTTATCACAAAGAACTCAAGATCTTTGCAGACATGATGTCTAGCAGGAGTGGGTCTGCTGCAGTGAAACCCTCTTTGAGGCCAGATTTCTTGCTGAGATGTAACACCTACCCTTGGCTTCAAAGAGACCCATTTACATACCATCTCATTTATGGTTTTAGAGCGCCCCCAAAAGACTGGTTTCATAATTACATCACGAACAAATGTTTTTCTGTATTCTGTATTTCTCATTCTGATAAAAAAAATTATTATATTTTCTACGTGATTCAATCATTTGAAACAATGTACTRTTTTAATCACTTCACAAGCAATCTACCTCTGTGTGTTTAATCAATTTTAGTGGCGAGAGACTGTGAAGAGGAAGGCAGGTCATGTGACTGTTTTCAGCCAATCATGAGTTTTTCAGAGTCAACAATAGGACCAGTTTAGCAGCAGTCAGTCAGAAGAAGAGAAGAAGGAGAAAGAAGGAAGCAGCAAGTGAAGAAGTGAGAGGATTAGCTCCAGTTTTCCCTTAGGGGACATTTTTCTTTTTATTTTCATTTTATTTTATTTCATTTCATTTTGTAACTTCAAAGTTGTTGATTCCTATTTATAGTGCGGGACTGGATTTATGCAGGAAGAGAGCTTGATCAGAACTTTTTTTTAATCAACAAGGATCCAGAAGCAGGCTTCTTGTTCCAGCTTGGAGCCGCCCCAAGCCGCTTCTTGGTGCGTTCGAACTGTACCCACACGGGACCCCCTTTGAGACAGAGCGGCACCGGTTATCCAACCTCGCTCGGACCTTCCGGTACCCAGGGACAGCGGAAAACTCTTCAAAGTGGTAGGAAAAGGAGAGCTTCTCTGTTGATGGTGGTGGCTCAGCTGAAGTGGTACTGTGGTGAAGTTTCTGGATCATTAAGTTGAGTTGAAGAAGGCTTTGGCAAGTTCATTTCACTCATAATTCACGTCCCCTCTTAAATCGATGAATTAACAATTTCTTTTATTAATTTTTAAGTTTTTCTTAATTTGTTAGTGTAGACTAGCTTAGGAGAGGTTCAGTTAGAATGATGCTAGAGTTATTATGGAATGACAGTAACGCTTATTATTAAACCTCAAGGTCTTGATAATAATGGTTTTTGTTGCCTAATAATCTGTTTGTATTGTTACTTCTGAATCAATTAATACAAGGTATATTTTGAAATAGCTCGTCTGTGCGTTCATTATTTTGTTTTGCTCTTTAAACTGGTAGAATTCACTATTCAGTATTTGAGACTGACTTAAGATCTATAAATTAATTTCCTGGATTACCAGGTGGTGTCCCTTTTATTGTGCTAATAAATTACGAGGAATTTATGATTTAGCAATTGTCCATAACATCGACAGAATTTCACTACAGTAATAACAGACTGTAGAGAAGAATCTGATATTTCTTTAGATTATTTCAAGTCACTATCATAAAGAGAGATGAAGAGTCAGAGTTCAAGTAATATTGTTTCAATRAACMAAGACCAGGGTGTTCCTYTTCTTGAAGAGTTCCCCTTTGATGTCACTTCCTGTTTTACTTTTACTGAGCCAAGTTCAAGAGAAAATCTGTCAGTTATGTGACAAAATGTGTAAAGTCATGTGTATTATGCCAAGTTTCTAAAGTAGAAACGTTTTCTTTGACTTTTTGTATTTGAAGCGTCTACATGTCACAGGCACTTTAAACCGCTTCCTGTCTAAGAATTCACAGCGGTGAAGCACGGTGGAGGCAGCGTCATGATGAGGGGATGTTTTCTCTTCGCAGGGACTGAAACTCATCACTGCAGCTTTAATTTGATTAAAATAATAAAATGTTTTTTAGTGTGACACAGAGGAGGAATCGTGGTTGAACACGTGAARTAAATGCTGCTCACCGCCTCCACACAGAGGGGTAATTTACAGTGAAACCTGTCGGCTGTTTGAACCGTGCGGTGACAGAGTGACTCAGAGTGGATTTGGGTGTAAAGAGRCAGAAACAGGAGGATGTGAGTGAAGCCCTGCAGCCTCCTGCTGCTCCTCAGGCGAGGCGCCCCGGCAGCCGGAGCTCATTATCGCCTGGTTCAGGTTAAGTTGTGGATCCACCTCTGCCTCTGCTCCCAATTACCTCCTGATCCAACAACGGCGAGCCCAGAGGAGGCGACCGGGCCGGGCCGGTCCGGGCCGCGGGGCGGGCTGACATCCTGTCTGACAGCTGTAATCGCACCGGAGCTGAGCTACAGCCTGGCTTCTCTCTGACTCGCTAATAACCACTCATTATTATTCTGATACCTGACTTGTGTCATTTTTAGGCGATGACAAAACCGTTCTGTGCTTTTCAAAATAAAATAAATCCAGCCTAAGTTGAATTTAAACACATAAAACTTAATGTTATTGAGAAAAGACAGATCAAGTTGAGGCTTTTACAGTTTCTGACAGGGTATTAAATTATGCTTTTCTAGATTGAATTATAATTTATAATATCATTTACAAATATTTATCACAGTTCAGCCAAAAAGTATRAAAAACACAGCTCATGCAGGTAGCAACTAAAGCTGTTTACTTCACAGTACAGTAATATGTTTTATGTTTAATATTTATAACTGACGTCATGTTGAACAGTAAATTCTGTCAGAGGGACACCTGTCAGTGCATGGTGTTTATTGGTTTTATATGTCAGCTGTTTTTGTTGAGAAAGTTCTCTTTATTCAAGCAGCCTAGGCATGCTAGTCGCTAGCCTCTCCAATGCTAACACCAGCTTATCCATGCTAGTTGCTAGCCACTCCAATGCTAACCTCAGCTTATCCATGCTAGTTGCTAGCCACTCCGATGCTAACACCAGCTTATCCATGCTAGTTGCTAGCCACTCTGATGCTAACACC